CTGTGATATTCACGAGTTTGTTGTATTCTTTTTAGATTCCACATGGAAATGACGCCTTACAGTGTTTGTCTTTCTCTGACTCATTGCACTTAGCATCATGCCCTCCAAGCCCAGCCACGCTGTGCTCCAGAAGCTAATGCAACATTTTAAATCAACTGTACTTCAATTAAAAAGCAAACAAACAAACAACCCATTTAACATACGAGCAGAAGAACTGAACAGACATATTTCCAAAAGAAGAAATGCAGATGGCCACAGGACGCTCTTTGTTTTAGAATGATCCCCTGGGGACCACAGGGAAGCCCGTTTGAGGGAAGAGAGATTAGAGAGGCAGGAGACCCAGCTAGAGGATGTCCCCAGGGCCCGACGTGGACCGTGAGGAGGAAGAGAAACTCTAGGGAGGTATTTTGGAGAGAAAATGTAAGCCTTAGTGACTCGCTGGAGAAGAGAAAGGAAAGAGAGGGAAATGAATGTGCCTTGTTTCAAATCTCCTCGGTTCTGAAGCCAGTGGAGGAGAGCGGCTGGAAGGGAAGGGGAAGCCCTGGGTGCTGGCAGCCCCTCCACACCTGGCCTGGTGGCTGTTCCTGGCGCCGTGGGGCTCTGTCTCCTCTTACCTGGCATCCATCTTGCAGCCCAGCAGGAAAATATGTGAAAACCTAGACGATGCCCAGGAAGATTTGAGAGCAGGCAGAGCCCGGTTAGCCTACGGCGCCTGGATATTGGGCAGCTGAGGTCAGATGTACAGGCACCGGCTGAGCCCCCGGTGAATGCCCTGGGCACCAGGGCTCAGATGAGCTTCTCTGATTTGCAACAGTTCCTGTGTGTCGTCACACATCACATGTTGTCCGGGGGAATGAAACGGTGACCATGGGACGCCCCGGGAAGTGGACCATTGGAAGCTTGTGCCTGGCATCTCCTGGACTCTGCCCTACACCCCTTTTTCCTGTGCTGATTCATCCTTTCACTGTCATAAACATAACTGCGATGCTAACAGCTTTTCTGAGTTTTTCCAGTGAATCATCAAACCCAAGGCTGGCCTCGGGAACCCCCAGCACACCCACCGCATTCTCTTAGCCCACCTTCTGACTCCCATAGCAAACAGCAGCACACAGGTGCGTCTGGACAGTGCCTTGCCTCCACCGTACCGTGTAACTCCCACCTCCTGTATCAGCACCGACGTGTGAATTTCTTGTAGGACACGTGTGAGCACTAACTCAGCCATTCTGATGCAGGTGCACACCTGGAAGATGCACATGAACATCCCCTGTGTCAACTCTCCGTGCACGGGAGTGAGAGCCAAGGAGGGAGACCCTCATTCTCATCTCTCAGGTGGAAAGTTCCAGAGTGCATTCAGCACAGTTGTCCTGAGGGTCCTCAGCCAAACTGAGCTCTGATTACCTGCAGCATCGACCAGCTCACTCCCTCCTTGCTTTGGTTTCCTCTCCTTCCCTGGTTTACTCTTCTCACTTCCACATTCCGCTTCCTCAAGACCACTTTCCTAAGTAAACTGCATGTGTGCAAGGTCGGGCTCTGCACTGGGAGGAAGTCAAAGAGAACTTTCAGCTGACGATGAACACATGCCCCTGAATATATGTGACAGCTTTTATTTCATCAGAACGATCTTCTGGGGTGAATGTCGCCATCCAGAGGCCTGATTATTGCTGGAGATTTCTATGCAGGATTCCAAGGTGCCTCTGTTTCCCCAGTACGGTCAGTCTGCAGAGGACCGTGAGCAGACATGTCCAATGAGAAGACACAGATGAAGAACAATGCATGTTAATTCTGCTCCCTCTGCACAGGCAGGTCTGCAAGCCCTGGCCTTTCCCTGCATGACTAGCCTGGGACAGCCCTCAGCCCCTGTCTGTGCCAAACCCATCCTCATAATCAACACAGCAGCATCTCCTCAGCTAGCCTCTCTCCTGAGTTCCCTATGCAGTGTAGTGCCGTGTACCGTGCCAAACCTTGATGGGTCCAAGTGGAAAAGAATGTCATTTTATCTTGCCGTAATGGTACAAGCGAATCCGATCAAACCTCTAGACCTAAGGAACCCAAAAGGTCGCACCGCGCAGGGCTGTGCCCACGCCCAGAAAAGCCCCAGGAAAGCCCTGAGCAGTCCCCTCGGGCCGCCTGTGTGGTCTGTGCAAGCAGGAAGACGGGCCCGGCAGAGCTGTGACCGTGTGAGCGGGGGTTGAAGGCAGGCGCCAACACGCAGCCCTTTGGCGTCGTCTGGCCGACTCACTGGACCCGGCATTTCAGGAAATCTGTCGGATTGTTAGCACCGCACCAAGCGAACCAAGCGAGACTTCAGTAGCTGTAAATGACCAAGAACAGGTCACGACAACAGCCAGGCCAGGCTGGGCGCGCCAGCCCAGCCCCCGGGCGTCACGGGCTGCTTTCCTCTCCCCACCCCCACCCCCACCCCCCGTTTCATCTCACAGCCAGTCCGCAGTCTGTTAACCCCAAACGTCTCCAAGTGCGTTTCGACCGCCGTTACGTCCAAGTCAGAGTCCAGGACCCCCATCCGGGCAGACGGACACCCCTCTTAGGTCTCTGACTCTGTAACTGCTCTCCCTCCCTCTCTCCCTCCAACACTGGCCTGGGCTGACTGTGCTCCTGACGTCAGGCCGGGTGCCAGGACTTCTCAGGCATTGTCAGACTTCATCTTCACACCAAACCAATACGGTAGCCACCATCCTGCGGCATGCCCACGAGCCGGTCTCTGTCAGAGCCACTCGGCCCACACCCTGAGTGTGCAGGGGCCTCAGGAGAGCTCAGAGCTAGCTGCCTTCCCTGAAACTGGAAACGTACAAGACCTTGCAGACCACCGGGCCTGGTAAAGAAAACCAAAACCAAAAGCAAGCTTCTTGCATATCATATGCAGGAACTCAGCTAACGCTCACTGCGCTGTCTGCACGGTAAGCACCATCACCTCCACCGGACAGAGGACGGAATTGAGATGCAGAAAGATTAAGCATGCAGGTCTCCCATGCACCCGGTACCTGTTAGCTGGCTTTGCATCAGCAGCGGGGGCGCCACTCATGACATTTTCTTCTTCTCTCACGAAGCTCAGCAAAGGAAACAGATGAATAGAAATGTATGTCCCTTTTTGTGTGAACTGTGTCCCACACACTCCTCTCGAAGGTACAAGTGGCCACCATTGGCTGTGTCCTAATTAATGCTCTTTCCTTCTGTTAAACCCAGAAGGGGATGAGTCTGATTCTCTGCCTTCTGGAAGCTCGTGGTGTGCCTGGGAAGACAGGGAAACACTCACAGATACCTCGAATGCAAGGCAGGTGTTGAAAAGCCCAGCAGATACAATAGCAGTTTCTCAAGAGATATATGAAAAACACGTGGGTGAGGAATAATTACTAAGGAGGCAGAAGCTATTTGCGGATGGAAACATAGGGTGACGTTTGCCAGGTCTCTGAATGGTAGGTACACGGAGTGAAGCACAGTAAATACATTCATTTCCAAGTAAACACGGAGTAGAGAACAATGGAACGTTTTGTTTGGGACCGGACGGATCGTCATTTCACACTGAGCCACCAGATGGCGGTTTAACAGGCGTTGGGATTTAGGGGGAAGAAAGTAGGTTGTGGTTTTGGTGGTTTTGGTTTTGGTTTTTCTTTGCCAGGCCCAGTGGTCCGCAAGGTCTTGTAAGTTTCTAGCTTCTGGGGACTTGGCTAGTTCTGCGCTTTCCCAAGGCCCCTCCCTGCCCGTGAAAGGATGTTGGCTGAAATGAGAGGCCATTGGAAGGAGAGATGACAAGGGTTTTTTCCCCCGAGTTTGACCTCATGGCCCTCCCTCCCCCTCCTTGTGCTCCCAGGAGGAGTGTCTGGAACACGGGGGGCCGAGCAACCTGGTCCCTCTGCCGAGCATCCCCCCAACCCTTTCTCCTGCTGACAAGTGCCTACGCCCCTGCAAGGACCACCCACTCCGTGAGTCGCCGTAACCAGACAAACGGTGTTTCCGTTAATATTTTATCCTATTGCTTTGTAAGTATTTGTGTTCTTTTAATTAAGACTTCTTAGCAGTCAGGAAATTACTCTTAATTTCTCACTTGTCTCAGGTACATCTTGCAAAGGACCAGAGGTCTGTTTCCTGAGTCCTGTCCCAGCTGGGAGGCTGACTCTGCCCCCACAACAGGAGATGCTGGAGGCCAGGGATACTCCCCAGGCCCCTTTGTATCCTCAGTGCCATGCAAAGCGCCGGGCCGTGGTCAGTGCCCAGGGAACGTCTGCCAGAGAAAGAACAAGTGTGCGTGTGAAATGGCAGCTCTCATCCCGAGGGCGGAGCTCTGACCGTCAGGCCACACTACTGGCCTTGGAGGCTTATTCCTGCTAAAATGACGAGCACCTGGCAGCAAAGTGACTGTGTCTCTTCCGATCATGTCCCTCCCCTGCTCACAGCCTCCAGGGCTTCCTAACGCACCTCAATGAAATCCTAACCCCTCACCATGACCCGCGAGGCCCGCATCCCAGCCCCACACCGCCCCCCACCCACCTCGCCCACACTGCCCGCCCAGCACGCTCCAGCGACACAGCCTCTGCCCACGCGGCAGCCCCCCGGCCCCTGCAGGTCCCTCTCCCTGGAATGCCCCTCCTTTTGTCCTCCTGTGGCAGCTCCACTTTGAGGTTAAAATCTCAGTTTCAATGTCATTTCTCCGAGAGGCCTCATCTGGTCATCTAGCTCAAAATAGACACTTCATCTCACGAGCCAGTTATAATGCTCTGCATGGCATTCACCCGGGTTTCTAGTGTCGACTTGTTAATGTCTGGTTCCCCGAGTAGACAGCAAGATCCCGAAGACAGAGCAGGTGCACCCCTGGTGCCCAGCGCAGAGCAAGCTCACAGGTGCCAAGCAGAGGCTTCAGGGATGAAGACCACAGCTCCCCGGGGACCAGACCCTCTGCTTTCCCAACCTGCCCCCTGCAGGCTCCAGACTCTGCCCTTCAGCTGCAAGGAGGTGAGTCACACAAGAGGAAGCAGGAAGGCCAAGGTTCAAGAAGTGAATCTGGAGAAAAGCACGCTGAGCTGACCAAATCGGTACCTGGGATTTAAGAGCCGGCAAATGCACCGCTTAAAACTGTCAGATTTGTCTGTATTTCCCGGGTAGGAAAGAGACAGAAAGGAGGGGCAGTGAGGAGCGTGGGCGTGGGTTCTGGAGAGGCAAGATCTGAATCCCAGCTCCTCCCCTTATTAGACATGACCTTGGACCAGTCACCTCACTTCCCGGTGCCTCAGTTTTCTCATCTGGAAGGTGGAGATGATCATCATAACAGCTACATCACAAGGTTTGGGTGAACTTAAATTACTGGATGCTTCTTAAGCACCAGCAAACAGCAAGCACGTATCAGGAATGCTAGCGCTCTTATATCAAGAGGGCTATTTTTGTGTGTGTCTCCCTGGCAGAGCTGTCAGCTCTGAGAGGGTGAGGATGCTGATTTGCCCCCCTCTTCCTGGGTACCCAGCACTTTCCATGCACGTCCTGTGATGATTAGCGCACTCTCTCTGGTCTCCACGGAAAAGCAAGGGTCCTTGGATTCAGTGGGTCAGCCTGTCAGTCCAGCCGGAGGTGCTGGCTCTCCTCACACAGGCTTCTCTTTCCTCTTCTCTTCATTCCCTTGCCTTTAACACGCCGTTTGCCAGGCCCCTTGTTTTCCAAAAGGAGCTGCTTCTCAGGAGTGGGCTGGACCCACATGCAGGAGGCGCAGCTCTGCAAAAAATTTAAATAGATGCCTTTCCTTTTAGGTTATTTCTGCTTCCCCACCCCCTCGTGAAGAGCATCGCTCCATCGCGCCGCCCCCTGGAAAATCTCTCTCCGGGAGGAGAGTAACGGATGTCCCACAGAACTGCCAATACCGCAGCCGATTTCCAAGGAAAATTGCCTCTATCCATCAAAGCAGCCCTGAGCCAGACATGCATTTGGGAGGAAGACCCTGAGCCAGCTGCTCCCAAGGGTCTTCTCGGAGGCAACACAAAGAAAGCCATTGCTGGAGCAAAATAAGAGCAACAAGACAGGAAAAGAAGAGCCACCGAATCAATAGATAGCCCCTCGTGCGGGCCCCTTGCTACCTTCCCTGAACCCAGGACCAGACAGTGTCCTGGAGTCCACGCAAATGAGTTTTCCAACCACCTCCTCCCGTGAGGGTGACGGGAGTCGTGAGCCGGGTAGGAGACTGGAAGGCTGTGTGGCCGCAGATGCGTGGGTGGCTGTCCCCAGGGCCAGGCTCCTTCCTGCGGGGAGACCCATCGGGCCGGTCTGCCCTCCTCCTCTCATCCATCAGTCCCAAGCCTGCCAGGCGGGCAAGGCAGACATCCGTTGAGGGAGGCTAATAAGGAAGAACACAGCCTCTAAACCGATTCCTATGGGATCCACACAGGCATTTCCTCTGGGGTGACAGGACCCGTGTACTCTTGAAATTAGGAGACAGCTGGAGAGAGCACCTGTGCTCTGCCCCCCCACCCCGGGGAGCACTGAGGATGCCAGCACTGAGCCTGCGGTTCACACTGAGCCTCCTGGACTTTGCATTTACACGACCTTGCATTTACAGACAACCAAACAGAGGCTCAGAGAAGCTAGGGAAAGCCCCCAAGGTCATAATAGTAGGAGGTGGCGGGACTGGTTGGAAGCCAGGTCCTGGGGAACCTGCCACCTCCTGTGGTCTGGCCGCTGTCTGAGCCTCAATTTCTGTCTTCAGAGGGGTGAACAGCGAGGACGGTGCAGATAACAAGGGAGGCACCTGACCCGGGCCCCCAGTGTGAGTTCCTCCAGGACACATTTTCTTCTTCCCTTTGGGAACGAGAGCAGCAATTTAGGGTTTGGTTGGAATCAGGGGCTTCTCCACTTATGTGCTTGCTTGGAGGGAAAATTTGGAGCAAAGCTGTGAGACCCTTGCAGCCTACATCTTGAGCCAGTTGAGCAGGTAAGTGATTCACTTCCAGAGGTGAATATCCCCAGTCAGCAAATGATGGGAGCTGGTGCTTCCTGCAGCCACCCAGCAGAACCCCTGGAAGACAAAGAGAGGCCCCAGTTCGCTCTGTCGTGCACAACATCAGCGTCATCCAGGAAGCACTCCAGGGCTCCTCGGACATATGGCACCAGGCTGAGCGCGGCAGGGAGAGCAGAGGCTGAGATAAAGCTAGACCCATGAGTGTCGGAGCCTGAAGTCTGGATGTGAATCCCAGCTCCGCCACCTGACAGTTGCACGACCTTGGGCAGGTCACCCCAACCGTCAGGTCCAGTTCCCTTTTTGACCCAGTGAGTCAGGAGGACCCAGGGAGTGGTGGTCACATGTTCCAGGTCATATGGACCCACTGGAGCAGAGCGTGGTCAAATGACATCTGTTCTCAACTCTGCTCTGCAGACCAACCACATTCCTGGAGGCACGGGGGAAACCAGATGGATTTGCTGGTGCTGGTTTTATATCTCTGAGCTTTCCACCATGGGATTTATGTTAAAAAAGGAGGCCCTCCGCTGTGCAGGACGTTGGGCTCCTCGTCTGTTCCTCTGACCGTCCGTCAGCTGACTTCCCTGTGTGCAGGGCAGCCACGCCTGGTTCAGGTTGAACATTCCTGGCTGAGGTTAACTATGAGAGTGCTTTCACCCAGAAATACTTAAGACAGAAATAATAAGATTAATAATTCAGAGTAACAGAACACATAGTGAGGTGAACCATATATAGTGGGTAAAACAGTTAACAAACAGAGAGGGTTCAGAAGTATACAGGCAACATTTTGCAAATAATTGAGAATGTGTATGGGTTGCACTCCAGCCCCTTCTCCCTACAGATTAGTAAAGCCCCAGCTGAGCATCAAGGCAGGAACACTCGCTCTCCCGCTTCCATCCAGCTCCAGCTCTCACGGGGCGTGACCAGATGGACTGTTCTCCATGAGTTGGAGCTTCTGGGACAGCACTGCCGCGAGGCACGAGCACTGAGACACCCAGACAGGAGTTCGAGGTTTGCAGATACTAACTACGATGTGTAAAACAGATAAACAACAAGTTCCTACTGTACAGCACAGGGAACTATGTTCAGTATCTTGTAGTAGCCTACAATGAAAAAGAATATGAAAAGAAATATATGTATGTACACGTATGACTGAAACATTATGCTGTGCACCAGAAATTGATACATTACTACTGACTATACTTCAATAAAAATTCATTCACTCATTCATTAAAATTTTAAAAATAAGCAGATAAATAAATTTCTTCTGTATAGCACGGGGAACTATATTCAGTATCTGTAGTAACCTATAATGAAAAAGAATATGAAAAGGCATATATGCATGTATATGGTATGACTGAAATATTGTGCTGTACACCAGAAATTGATGCAACATTGTAAACTGACTATACTTAATCAATCAATCAATCAATGACAGAGACACCCAGACGGGATGTAAATCCAGAAGAATCGGTTTGGTACAGCTTGGGCCACAGTTACCTCATCTACAAAACGAACATAAGCATACCTAGCTCACAGGGCTAGAGAGAGAATTCTAGGAAATGCACGTAAAGCACTCAACACAAAGACGTTCTCAACATACGGAAATTATTCTTACTGTCTGTTAGTGGAGATGCCTTCCAGGAGCAGAGTCGACTTAGCTTTGCAGAGTCAGAAATCTGATTTTTGTCAGCCCATGGAGAGTTGAAACCGCATACCCTGAAATGGAAACGTAAATCAAAATGCCAATTTGTTCATTTGCATTGAGAGATCACTGCCAGGCTGTATTAGTTTCCTGTGGCTGCTGTAACAAATCATCACAAACTTAGTGGCTTAAAACAACAGAAATTTATTATCCCATAGTTCAGTAGGCCAGAAGTCTGGCACCGGTCTCGCTGGGCTAACATCAAGCTGTCGGCAGGCCGCGCTCCCATGGAGGCTCTAAGAGAGAATCTGTTCCCTTGCTGTTTCCAGCTCCTAGCGGCGGCTGCATTCCTTGGCTCTCTGCCCTCTTCCTCCATCTGCAAAGCCAGCAGCATGGGTTGAATCCTCACAGCTCATCACTCTGACCTCACTCTGCTGCCGCCTATCTCTTCCACATTTAAGGACCCTTGTGATTACATGCAGCCCACCCAGATAATCCAGGATAATCTTCCTGTTTCAAGATCAACTGATTAGCAACCTTAATACCATTTGCAACCTGAATTTGCCTTTGCCATGTAACATGACATAGTCACAGGTTCTAAGAATTAGGACATGGACATATTTGTGGGGTGGGGGATTATCCTGCCCCCCATACAGGAACAAGAATATCTGGGTCCCTATACCCAGCACATTATTTCCCTGTAGACAGGTGTATGCAGCACGCTCAGCGGGACCACAATGGCTTACACAGCCCAGCGTGCCCACCTCCACCGTGGACACGGCTTACCCAGTGCACCCAGGTATGACTCCTTCCCTGATGAGAGCTGGGCTGGTCCTGCTGATATTTGCCTCTGTGACTCCCTTTTCCATTCCTCCAAGGCTGCATGACCACCGCCACCACCAGGCACCAAGTTCACCTTCTCATGGACATGAGACGGGAGGGAAAGGGGCAGGGTACAAGCATCAGAAGAATGGCACAGCAATTGAAGATTGGATATAAACTGGTTAAAATCTGACTAGGCCCAGGATGACGAGAGATTTGACTTCCAGGAGACCTGGAGCCTCATTATGTGCTCATTGTAACATATTAGCATGTTAAATGGCACTCCCACAGGTGCCAGGACAGTTCTGAGGCTGACCATAAAACGTCAAAAAGTGGGCAATGGCCCAATTCTTGGGAATCCCAGCCCCATCCCCAGAGTCATTGGAATAATCCTTCCACTTGTTAGCACATTAAGTTACCAAGCCCACAAAACCTAACAACGCTGAGCCTCGCGATCCCTCTCTCTGGCCTTGTGAGGCAGCCCGCACTCTGTCTGTGGAATCTCCCTGAATAAATCTACCTTCACTCCACTATGGCTCACTCTTGAATTCTTTCCTGCATGAAACCAAGGACTCTCACTTGGCAGGGCACGTCGCAGGGACTCGCCTGGGACCTGGGACACAGCCATCCTCTCACACCCTATTTTCCTGCCATAGACACACTTTTTCTTTAGGGGATAATACTGAGTTCTTGGGTGGCCTGGGTGTCTTCATGCTTAAATTTTGCCTCTTTTGTGATCCAGTATGTGCGAGCTTTCAAGTTGAACTTTCCAAGTGTAAATTTACCTCTAAGTTCTTAGGGAACATCGAACTATGTCCCTGAGTGCTCACAACAACATGGACCCAATCATCTGGGTGCTCAGAAAGGCCTTTTTTGTGTCAGCAGCACAGTGACGCACTGGAGGGTTAATCAGACGCAGCCTCAACCCTCAAAGAGCCCACCAGTTTTGAGCTAGCAAGGCCTGAGACAGCACATACCAAGACCTTCAAGAGGGGCTCAGGGCCTCAGAGGGGAGAAGGGTCTGTAAGCTGGAGAGATCAGGGAAGGGAATCCAGTGCTGTGGCTGGGCCGTTTCAACACTAATTGAATCATTTGACTCTGAAAGCCTTTGTGCTGTGACCCATTTTCATCATGCCCAGACTTGACTGTGGGCAATTTTCCCTTAATTTTGAATACTAACCCAAAGGGAAAAGAACAAGTTGTTTGTTCTTGGGATCGCACAGTAGGTATGAAACCATACGCTGTTTTTCAGTTGCCAAGATTTTTAATTATGTTCTTTATGTTCTGCATTGTGATGAGTGTCTATTGTGGTTTTTTTTTTTTTTCAGGATAACTGGGGTA